CAGTCGCTTGGGATCGCTCACTGTTTAGCATGTCCACATACACATCAACATAATGGTTCTGTGGAACGTAAGCATCGTCACATTGTTGAAACTGGTCTTACTCTCTTCGTCCATGCATCGATTCCGTTTCGGTTCTGGAGTGATGCTTTCACCACTGCATGTTTTCTCATAAATCGTACTCCCACTCGTGTTTTGAATATGAAGACTCCCATTTAAGTTCTCCTTAATGAACAACCTGATTATACATTTTTCAAGGTTTTGGGTGTGCTTGTTGGCCGCATCTCCGCGCAAGCTTGAGTTTCGCTCCAAGAAGTGTGTTTTTCTTGGCTATAGCTCTCTTCATAAAGGTTACAAATGTCTTCATGTTCCCACCAATCGTGTTTATATATCTCGGGACGTCGTGTTTGATGAGCATGTTTTTCCCTTTGCCAAACTTCCCGTGTCCACTGCTGAACCACCATCTTTGCATTCATCCTTTGTTGCCTCTGACCAATTTGATGATGTTGCATACTCTCCTATATTGTTGCCTAACCATGGTGTAGGCACTGGACGTGGGGCTCGTTTGGAAATTTTGGAGGCGCCATCGTCTCCCTTGCTGGTCTTACCTGCGGCTAACGACGATCAGGGTGCGTCCCTGCATGGCCTTGGTCCTCGTTCCCATGCATGTTCGACCGATCGCCCCGCCACGCCGGGTGCTTCGACGCCCCGGGCCTCTGGACCGGTGCCTCTGGCCTCTGTCCCGCCTGCGTCGGTGCCTTTGGCTCCTGGGCCGACCGGCTTGGCGCCCCTGGTGCCTCGGTTGCCCGACTCGGCGTCTCTGGCCCCTAGGCCGGCCTCGCCACTTCGGCTTGCTACTCCGGCCCCGTCGCCCCCTCAGCCTGCCACGCCGGTCTCGCCTGGGCCGTGCTTGCCTGGGCCGAGCTCACCTGGCTCCGGTGTGCTCTCGCTTGTGCCCACTAAGGCATCTTCGTTGCTGGCCGAGGCGTTGCCATCGCTGTCGTCGCCTTCGTCAATCAGTCCAGTAACCACTAAGTCCTCTCCGTCTCCTGTTGCTCCAGTGGCTCCTCAACGACCACACACGCGGAGTCGCAGTGGTGTTTTTCAGTCCAAACAGCGCACTGATGGTACTGTTGCTTGGTTGGCTGCATGCCTGGCTGCTGCTCATGCGGATCCTACCTCTGAGCCTCGTACGTATCAAGCTGCTCTGAGTATACCTCATTGGAGAGAGGCCATGGAGCAGGAGTATCATGCTCTTCTTCGTAACAAGACATGGACTCTTGTTCCGCCACCACCCCGTGTTAATGTCATTGATTCTAAATGTGTTTTCAAAGTGAAGAAGCATTCTGATGGGTCTATTAAGCGCTACAAGGCGCGTCTGGTTGCTCGAGGTTTTCGGCAGCGTTATGGTCTTGATTATGAAGACGCCTTCAGTCCAGTGGTTAAACCTACTACTATTAGGTTTCTTCTCTCTCTTTTAGTTACTCGGGGTTGGTCTCTTCGTCAGCTTGATGTGTAGAATGCTTTCCTCCATGGTGTTCTGGAGGAGGAGGTCTATATGCGGCAGCCCCCTGGGTTCTCTGATCCTGATCGTCCTGATTATCTGTGTCGTCTCACTAAAGCACTCTATGGTCTGAAGCAGGCTCCCCGTGCTTGGCATGCTCGTCTTGCGACAGCCCTTCGTGCTCATTGTTTTGCATCATCGGCTACTGACTCTTCGTTATTTATTCTACAAAGGCCCGAAGTTACCATGTATCTGCTGGTCTATGTGGATGATATTATACTTGTCAGTTCCTCTCAGTCGGCTGATGCTGCTCTTGTTCGGTCTCTTGGTGCTGATTTTGCGGTCAAAGATCTTGGGAAGCTTCACTACTTCCTTGGTGTGGAAGTTGCTTCTTTTTCCGATGGTCTTGTTATGATGCAGAAGAAGTACTCTTTGGATTTGTTGCAGCGGGCTGGCATGCTTAAGTGCAAACCGACTACTACACCTATGTCCACTACTGACATGATAACTGCTGTAGATGGTGAGCTCCTGACT